TCAAAGAGGGTGTACTTTCTTTTTCACACGACTGCATGTAAAACTACACAGTCAATTCACAGAGAAGCGAGATACCAACTAGAAGCTTCCCGATGTATATGTACTGAATAGACTTACTTTGTTTTTGAGCCAATGCTACTGTGGAACACTAGTATAAAACTAAAGCTAAGGTTGGGTAATTATAGAGGTATATATAGTCTATAACTAAACATACAACTACAGAAATGCACTCCTAGCATGAGTAAAAATCTGAAATTTGGGATGCACTGTAGCAAAAATCACTACAATGGTGAAATAAAAGCCACAATAGCATTTACAAAACTTTCAACAGTTTCACAAGCAGGTGGACAATTAGAATGCAGGCCACAGTGTCACACTGCATTACTTTTGTGTACTAATGGAAGACTGCTCTGGTGCACATGCACTGAAGAGAGAACTGATGCTTTATTACACTTGTAAGTTTAACAGTTCCATGATTTAAACAATGAAGTATCAGCTAACCAAGAAGAACAAGTAAAATACAAATTTTAAGAAGTTATTAGGCACTGATCTTCTGAGTTCAACCACACGATGAGTACTGCTTAGTATTTGCCACTGTATTTGGTATTTTTTATGCACATGTGCTGTTAATGTCAGAGAACTGAGTTACCTTAGATCTCCATTCTCAGTTTGACTTTCCCTAGAGAATCAACAAATAGAAAGCGATGACAGTTGTCATAAAAGACAGAATACACATCAGAAGAAAATTCTATGTAGAAAATGTTCATAATCAGGGCAGTTCACCTCAAAACTTATATCTGAGTTTGTTACATGTATGAATGTAAACAAGTCATTTGTCCCTGAAGTTCTTGTAAGTAAAATGGGGGCTCCCTTTAAATGTTAAGAAAATTAAAATGAACGGAAGAAGTGCCTGTTTTCTTTAAGATCTCAGTCGAGCAGCCTGTTCTTATGGCAACAAACTGTTCTTACACCTTCTCAGTAATGTTTTCAAGTAAGTGTATATATGGTACATATGTGTGCAAACTTTGAAAGAATATAAAGAAAAAAGAGAAACTAAATTAAACACAATTATTTATTCAGTCGTTCTGAGCTCCACATAGCATAAATTAGATGAGTATGGATCTGCTATAATACATTATATTACAAAGTAATATGCATGATCAAAATTGCTATTAAGATCCAAACAATCCACTCCATAATAAATAAAACCTATATTAATTTAACTCATACTATTTTCCTTTGCTGTTTTACATGGCTCTTCTGTAACATAGTTTTCACTTGGATCTGTGTCCGGAAGAGTTCCAATGCATTCTTCTACACACACAGCAACATTTCTCTCAAGTAGAGCAAGAGCTGTATAATGCAACTATTGCTAAAACCCATTAACTAACATAAAAAAACCCTCTTCTTCCTTTACCCCTTTGAAAACATTTACATCCTGCTCCAAAATATATCCACCACAGGAAACAAACATTGATTTTATGGAATCCAACCAGACCCATATAGGAAGTGCACACTGATGGTTAAAGAAGAGTTTATTATGCATGTTTTCCAAAGTATGCATTTCTGTAACTTTTTCTCTGTATCTTAGCATAGCACCTTTGTCAGTTAACAGCCAGAGAAAAGGCACCTTAGTTTTTCAAGCCATGATGAATCTTCTGTGCCACCTGCATGATGGTTTTTACAGAGATACTGGCTTTAATCCAGCACACGTTCATCTCATTCTTAATACACTGATAGGAAATGTTTTAAAGAAAAAAATGATATATAAAAGGCTAGACTTTCTCAAAGCTGTTTTTTTTTTTCATTCCTTTCTTTGCAAAGCATTTGGAAGAGAAAGAGGAAGAAAAGGACTCATCATTCATATTTTAGGACTTGGCAAATCATTGGACGTTAAGGACACGTGCTGAAACGCCATGGTGCCAGTCACGTAATTTTGTGTATCTAGGGCCTATGATGTGGAGGGGGATCTTTTCCCTGCAGAAAGAAGTGACAGAAGAAGACAGATAAGAGGAAGGACATCTGCATCTCAATCCATTCTACACGACAAACCAAGGCATGCAGAATTCACACAGGATTAGCAGTCTGAGTTTACACTAATTGTCCTTGCACTCCTGTACAAACTTGCCAACCTTTATGAGAAAGCCAATTTCTATTTCTTACGGTTGTGGACTGACCCTTGAACATAAGCAGCCAATATCGGCTGACTCTCAAAGGCCAGAACAGAAGGTGTTGTTCCTCCCATGATTAATCAACTCACAGTTATGCAAGGTAAGTTGTGTAAAGTTAATGAAGTTAGTTCACCTTGATGCAGAATCCAACTTTTTACCAAAAAAAAAAAGTCTGTGTTCTATTTCTAACACTGCCAACAAATGTATGTGCTAGCACAATTGCATATGATTAAAACTGAAACGTCATAAGCAAGATACTCCATAGTCCACACACCCCAAGCACATGTTCTGCAGTATCTTACAGAACACCAAACACCAGGTAGCGATAACTGAAGGAACTTATTCTGATGGAGAGCTCTTCCATAGAATATACTGTAGGTTTATAAGTCTGCACGGTATTAGGATTTAAATGCTGGTTTTTAACATGAATCAAGACCACACTGCCTCTTCCCATATGATCCTATCTTTTCTCTAAGGTCATCCTCAGAGGCCCTGCTCCAGGTTCAACCTCATGCTGTGGTGGGATAAATAGCTCCTAGCAGTGGGTCTTCTCTCAATAGTATCTCCTTTATTCTGGAATATTCTACCCAAAAAGGCACACCTGGCACCTTCTTTCCTGTCTTTCTGGCACCAAACAAAAGATTCATATTTTAAAGATTTATATTTTGTGTTTCACAGAAGTTTCATGATTCTACAATTATGCATAGATTGTATGTTTAATTATTGTTTTGGTTTCAATGTTTTTATACTGTGATCAGTGTAAGCTATCCTAGGAAACTTGGTAATGATGAGTAGCATACAATTTTTAATAATAAAATTTTCTAAAAGAAAAGGAAAAAAGTACGGGCACAGACTTTGATACTTTATGCTTTTAAATGCTTCCATGTTGTAGTCAATAAGATCAGTTTCTGCTCCAGTAGCCTAAGCAAGACTCATTTCACTGCTAGGCTGCACTCTACAGAAGTACGGAAGAATGAATAGTAGAGATCCAGAGTGGATTTGAGAAATATTTCCAGCCCAAGACAGATACAAGACACAGTAAAATTTCAGATAATTGAAAAAGAATAAACAATTACCTCTAAATTTCTGATTACTATTTCTACTATTTAAAAATGAATGCTTTTTCACTTTCCCTGTTCTATTGCTGATGCTGTTCCATTTTTACATAAGTATTATTAGTAACTTTCCATGTCTATGTAAATATTCAATTTTCTGCAAATTCATTTAAAAAAAATCAAAGATGTTAAATGGGCAATTCTAGGCCTATCCCAATTTATTTTGAAACAACATGCAATAAAAACAGATACCAGAACTTTAAAATGTCCATGATTTTTGAAAGACTGAAGAATCTTGTGACATCTTAAAGATTTTTTCCCCCAATACCACCAAAGCAAAACCATGCAAAATATTTTTTTTAAAAATAAAATCATTAGCTTACTTTATCTTCTTTGGATTCTCTGATTCCGACTCTTTCACTGCAACAAAATAAGCCATTCATTCAGTTTCCATGAAACTGCCATTCTTCATTGATCCATGAAACCTTTACCCTTAATTGCCTTTGAGAGACTAAGATCTAATACATCCTACTGTTACAAATGCCTTATGATACTCTAAAAAGTTCATATGTAGTACACCCTGTCCACAGTTTAAACTGTTATCTAAAGACATTGAGTTTTATAATCCATCAGCATTTATTACATATAAGAAACCATTTACTATGATATATTACAATGTACTTTTGAAAACTTTCCCACTTTCAACGCACCTGCTCTGTAGCTCATGAAGAAGTGAAAAGAACTCAAGTTCAAAGACCGACCTGGGTCACAGAATTAATTTCTCACAAATTTATTATTGTTTCATCCTTTACCATTCAAACTTGGCCAAATATACAATGCTGCTGTATTTCATTACTGTGAATTCACTCTAATTAAAAAGTACAAATTCTCAAATATCACTTTTAGATTTTTACATTTATACAGCATTGATGACAATGAGAGAGAATGTGGATGGGTTAATTACTCCCTTCCTCTTTGGGGGAAGCACAAAGCTGAACTTGGGGGATAAAAAGTAAGAATACTTGAAGAGATTCAAGTATGCATATTATTTGTATATGAGGCTTCTAAGAGTTATATATGTTGATACAGCTTTTAAAAATAATTACAAAGCTATCTTATTTTTAAAATAGGCACAATTAGGAATGCAATATTTATATACACTTATCTCTTTCATTTTTTGTTTGTTTTTTGCATTAAAATGAGAAGCAACTTACACAGTAAAGCAGTTTCAAATCAGTACAGGCAATGAAACAGTTACCCTTTGAAACTGTTAACTGTGCATAAAACCGCATACTACATTTCGTGCTTTAAAAAAAAAAAAAAATTCAATCGTGTGGAAATACAGGTAGTCCTCACTTAACAATGATTCAAAGTTACGACAGCTTTGGAAAAAGTGCTTTACGACCTGTACTCACACTTATGACCATTGCAAACCATCGCACCACCCTCGTGTCCATCTTATCGCAATTCAGGCACTTGGCAACTGGCTGCAGTGTCCTGCAGTCATGTGATCACGATTTGCGACATTTTTTGCTAATTTCTGGCAAAAAATGTCCATTGGGGAAGCTGGATTCACTTAATGGCCACGTGATGCATTTAATGACTGCAGTGATTCGCTTTATGACTGTCGTAAAAATGGTTGTAAAATCAGGTCCAGTCATGTGGTGTCTCGCTTAATGACCGCCCCACTTAACAACCAATTTTCAGGTTTCTATTGTGGACATTAAGCAAGGACTACCTGTAGGCTGAATTAAATTTTAAAATGAGAAAAATAAGAAACAGAAGAAATGGACAGATTTGTCTAAATCTGGCAAAAAATCCACCTAGATATTTTATATAATTTTTAACGTAAAACATAAAACTAAGGAAGAAGGCATACAGAGTCACACACATACGTATTTAATGAGCCTTGAGTTCTTTATTATAGTATCAACTAGTTACTTACTACGTTCAGTGCCTGTGATCTGTTGAAGTATCCGGAAAGAACGTGACTGAGTAGTTCCTGTCCTTGGGTGCCAGTCCTCAGTATCCTCAATCAGTCTCTTCTTGCTGTTGTTGCTATGAATCGGTGGATGGAAAAATTCTGTATTTCTGTATACAATGTGTTTCCGTGGTGGACTAATGCAATGAAGAAGAATAGTAAAATCAGTAAGCGAAAGAGAACTTGATAATACTGACTTTTCAATTACACTGATCAAGGTCAAGATGCTAAGGATCTGTATTTAATATAAATCTTTCTGGAGTGGATGATCCATTCTTTCAAGTTAGATACATTTAAAATTAAAGCAGGTTTCAGCTCTTCCTTTTTTAAGAATTATAAGTTGCAATCAATCTCTATATCAGAACATGCATGAAAGTTAACTAATAATCCATAGAATCCTTCCAATTAGTTCAATGAATAGCTCTTAGTAAGATACCACATGCACTGAATCTCCATATATACCTATACTGCCCTCTAGGAAAAACAAAACAGATTACATTTTCCCACAGAAAAATATTATGCAGAAATGACTCTGGTGCTTCCTTACTCCCCCCCTTGCTATATCTATTCTAAAATATAGTATACTATATTAATTTAATGATAATTTTAAAAAAAATGTTATGAAGCTGACCAACTGGTAAAGATGGTTTGCTAGCAATGCTGAACTGGACTGAGACTACATAATCCTTTACCATATGGATGCCCTCTTTGGTAGATAAAGATAAAGGTGTGGGGGGCAAATTTCTTAAATACAGGACAACTGGGAGGATTTTTTTGTATTGCAAGACAACAAAAAAGGCCATGACAAAGAAAAGAGTTTTGAACCCAGTAGGTAAGTAGGTAGGTAGGTGAAGGGGAAGTGGGGAAGGGAGGGAGGAACGGATCCTATTAACACTACCTAGTAAGGAGGAAGAAGAAAAAAAATTGGAATGGTGCAAAAATTAGTTATGGATATGCAGAACAATTGCAGGCAAGCTGTAAATTATTATCACAACTCTCTCCCTCCCCCACCCCCACCCTGACCAAACATACAGGCCATAGCACATAATTCTGAACTCCAAACAGGCACAATGTTGGCTATTACCGTTTAGGTGGGTTTTTCCTTTTATTACAGTAGAAAGAGCAAGGCAAGAGAATACAAGGAAGTCCAGCATAAAGAGGCAGAAGAAAGAACAGAAAGACAAAAGAATTATAAGTATTCAGTTTAACTGCTGCTATTATTAATAAGTCACCAATAAAATCATTTAATAATTTTATTTTCCCAAGAAAGAAACTGTCTTTCTTAAGCCCCTACCATTTTACCCCCTCAATCCCCCTGCTTAAGCTTGGCACAAAGATGAGGACTGCTTTCTGTTTAGAAGAATTGGCAAACCCCGAACCTGTCAAGTGAGCTTACAGAGTCAGCAATCATATACATGTAGCCAATTACTCCTGAAGCAAAAAAACACCCTGCTTGATCCTGCTGGGCATACTGACCCTGTTTTTTCCAAAGGTGGATCCTTTGCAGTTACTGTTGAACAAGCAAAGGATCCCAACTATAGAAGAATTGGCTCTTCACTGACATCACCAGCATGACTTGAGCGAGGAGATAGACTACTCATTGCAACTCACACTGTGATTTGTCTACTTCTTTGCAATACCTGAACAGGATTATAGAACCTTGTGTAATAAGGCCACAAAGGTCATCTAATCCATCTCCCTCCCTAGGGAAAAAATCACCTAGGGTCCCTGGCCAGGTGACCTTTTCATCTCTGCTTAACTACTTCTATTACAGAGGAACTCATCACTTCCACCATGGAGCCATTCAGACTTTTCTTCTGACATCTAGTTTCAAACTCCTCCCTAAAATTTCTGATATTGTAGTTCTATTTTACCAGCGGAGTCAGTAAGTGCTGAATACAGACTAGAATCCTCTCTAGAAAACTATTATAATATCTAACAGAAAGAAGAGGAAAGGAAACAATTTTCAGGCACAACCATTCCTGATGTACTGCCTTTCTCAACTCCACTACTGTACTATAATGCCAACTATTCTAATCATTCCTAGCTCATAGGAATACACTCCAACGAGGCATGATGGCCATTGTAGTTCAACTGACCTGGAGGACAGTGATTGGAGAAAGTTACAGCATACTTTTTTTCAACCCTTAAAAACAAAAAAAGTACTTAAAAAAAACCCTTCATTTCCCTCCCTAGGAAAAAAATCACCTAGGGTCCCTGGCCAGGTGGCCTTTTCATCTCTACTTAACTACTTCTATTGCAGAGGAACTCATCACTTCCACCAAGGTGGTGCCACAAGATAAAGTCATGGCGAATTCATTTCTTCCCTAAGTCAATGAAACAGTAGGGAAGAGGTGAGAAAAAGGCTTAAAAATCCTTGAATTAAATTTTATTTCAATAAATTTCTTTATTTTTGTTGTATTTAGCAACATTTGACTATCTCAGTTAAAAAAAATCACCTATTTTAATGTCTAATCACAGTTTAGACATTAAGTTTAGAGGAAATAGGACTTAATTCACAAAGGGTATCTACAGAATACAGCATTATTTTATATATACTGTAACTCAAATTTTAAGAGAGATTAGTAAAGTACTTACACCTCATCAGGGTTACTGAAGGAATGAGGGACAGAAAAGAGACAAACAGTGGATATGATTCCAGGATGTTCAAGTACAGATAAGAAATAACAGACAAAATGGGAGCAAAAAAGAGTTAATAAAAGTTAATTGTGATATTAAAGCCAAGTAGAAAAAATAGTTTCATTTAATCATAAGCGAACAATCAGGTAAAGCTAACATAGTTTCCAATTTCTAGAAGAATTGCTTGCATCTACCAGCAGCTATCACATCATGCCACAAGGTGGTGCCACAAGATAAAGTCATGGCAAATTCATTTCTTCCCTAAGTCAATGAAACAGTAGGGAAGAGGTGAGAAAAAGGCTTAAAAATCCTTGAATTAAATTTTATTTCAATAAATTTCTTTATTTTCGTTGTATTTAGCAACATTTGACTATCTCAGTTAAAAAAAAAAATCACCTATTTTAATGTCTAATCACAGACATTAAAAAAGACTCACTCACTGCTATTATCTCTACTGTTTGCCAGTTACTCATATGACAAAATTTAATATTGTAAATAAAACCACACACCAGTGAAAATTCAAACAATTTGTATTGCTTTATTTCAAAAGCCAAGGCTCTGTTTTGCAGAATTTTAATTCTGGATAGCCACACGTGCCAATTATTCAAAAGCACAAAATGCAACTCCATTCTAGCATCACCAAATACTAACTTTGTCACTGTTGTAACCTGTAAAGGAAAAAAAAATCAACATGTTTATTATAGCAACTTCCTTCCTACTCTACTTTATCAAACCTCAAAACCCTATAAGTCCATGTGTTTCCACACCTTTTGAACCAGAATATCTAATTAACCTATTGCATCCAGTGATTAGCCCGTGGGATCAGTCTAATGCAAAAGATAATTTCCATGCATGGACTAAGAACACAATATAAAGCAAAACACATGCAGCCACTTAAAAAACAAAACACCAGGCCAGTGTGTCTGAAACTTGGCAATTTTAAGATATGTGGACTTCAATCCCAGAATTCCCCAGCCAGGAGTTGAAGTCCATACATCTTAAAGTTGCCAAGTTTGAAAAACACCAACCTAGAGAGTTGTGGGTTCTTCATCTCTGTACGTTTTAAAGAAGAGACTAGTCAGTGATGTCAGCTGGAGAATTCTGGGAGTTGAAGTCCACACATCTTAAAGTTCCCAAGTTTCAGAAACACTGGACTAGTCATTCACTGCTCGTAGCAGAAACTCCTTTCAAGATGTGCCTTTATATCAGTGCTATTATCCAGTTCCAGCTCCCTCTTAGAATATCTCTTCTTCTTCAGTTGGACGTGTACATTGTTTTTACCCTTGTATTTTGTCAAAACTCAGGGCCACTCTTTTTTAGTGTAAGACAGATTTATAGGAAGTTGGACATATTGTATGCTTTGCTTCGCTTATTGACTACACGGTGGCTGATTCGCACAGGATACTAAACGTTATTTTCATTTTGGGCCAAGAGGTGCTAATCCATTCACTAGGTGTCACACGCTCCTACTATTGAATTACTTTTGATTCTGATGAAGTGAAACTAGCTAGTCCTTCCTTAGCTGCAGAAATGTATTAGGTGTCCTTGGTCCAGTTACTCATCAGTCTTAATCAGCTTCAGACTCTGTGACAAGTGGCTGATAAACAACATCCTCATTGTATTATCTATTGCTGGCTTTGCTGGAAAAATTAGGCAAGTGTATTGCAAAAACATGTAGACCCAAAAACAATGCTGGACAAAGGCTACAACATATCTGTATTTTCCTAAAATTTAAATCAAGGCAAGTATTCCAGAGTTTCAGAACTGCTGAGTCATTATAATACATTTTGTTCAGAGTTAATGTAGCACAGTGATTAAGTAGATGCTCCTGAAGTCTCAACTCAACTATGAGTTTCCCCAGGATGATTACAATCAGGTACACTGTATGGGGTTAACAACAGTGGCTTGATAAAAATGGCTGGAAAAGTAACTGGAAACAGAGAATATATTTTTAAAATCTGCTAGAAATATTAAACACAAACACAGTCCAATTCTCTATATATTTGCCCTATGATAAGTCCTTTTGTTTTCAGCAGGCTTGTACCCTGCGTACAAAATTGTGACAGGCTTAATAATTGTATATAATTATATGCATGTTCAATTGTGTGCAATTTTAAAAATCTGCATACTCCTTAAAATACAAACTTTTATTTAGTACTGAATTTCACTGTTAAGCTTATGAGAATATTTCATTTAAAGCATGCAAGGGCCACTAGTCTTCTCATTTTATACTGACAAACTGACTACTCCTCTCTCTGAATTAATTTCTAATTTCTGCAAGTAATTCCTTAAGGCACAAAGGCAAGGCCTTTTTAATTACTTGAGCTTAATCTCAAACTACGCTGCTTGAATAGATGTGCTACTGTCTATGACTGTTCCGGTAAACAGATTATATTACTCAGGTCTAAATATATTTGTAAAAAAGGGCAGTGCATCATCTTGCTGTTTCATCAGCACTAGAACTTTCATGTGCAAGCAAATTCTTCTCCCACAAATAACTGCACAGGCATCATTTGAAACCAATTTTCAGTCTTTTCACCTTGTCAGGAAACCTCACTAAATTTTAAAGAACAGAGATAATACTTGCCTTGATTTCTTGATTTAGTTTCATTTATTATGAAATATAAAAACTTAAGAAAAAGCAAAACTTCATGTCGTTTGGCAACCTGGTTCAAAAAAGTCTTCGGTTCAAACCACGCTGATCCACAAACAGACTTATAAAGTGGAGATAGATTTACAGATCTAAATGTCTGGGTTGCTGTATGACTCCTTTATACAAGACAGATAGTTGGTGAAAGCTTTTTCATAGCAGAATTTCGGAAAGCGATGGGAACAACTGCATACATTCGCTGTAGAGAAGATTGTTTGTAATCTACAGGAGGTGGCTGGATCTTGCCTGGGGGAGGGTTTGCTTGAATCTTTTTAGTACAAAGTTATTTTAGTTGTTATAAATTATTTTTGAATGCTAATAATTGCAGCTGAATGGCAGGCCTATACTTTAGATTGGCAAAAGCCCTTGTGGAAGGCTACAAGGCATAGCCAAGATATATTTATAAGTACTGTGAGATTTGTCAGGAATTCATCCTCTCCATTTTAGATAGCGTGGCTCCATGCAACATTATGCCCTTAAAGATAGTTACAATAACTATGTCCTCTATGCAGCATAGCCTGGGTTTTTTGCACTGTAGGAATTTTGCTGAAAGAAATTGGCTGACAGAGGGAAAAAAAATATGAACAACAAAAAGGTCAATTGTTTTTTTCTTCAACCATTTATAACTTAAGACCTATACAAATTGTTTCTATGGAGCCAACTCTGGAGAAACACATACAGATTGGAATATAATGGCTTATTTTAGGCAACGTATTTGGTAGTCCTTTCGGTGAATCACTTTCATTTAGATCTAGGCCTAAGTAAAATCATTTTTTTAGCCTTGGTTTCACACACTTTTTTTTTGTTTTATATTTCCAGTGACAATCTTTCACAGTCTTTTATAGAGAATTGAGCTGTAGTCTTAATTGTGGTTAAGCCTGATTCTGATTCATTCTTATAATGGTTACTAAAACTGACAGAGCCTTCACAAGCTCACACACTTAGATATTTGATTTGCTGTATCGCTTTCAACAGCCAGAAGTACAATCCTTGGGGATTCATACTTGACAATCAGCTGCACGAAGCACAGAAGTATGAACAGCCTTTCTTTTTTTTCATTTTTTAGTAGACTGTACTAAATGGGGGCAAGGGGAAATAAACGATAAGAAATTCAAACATGACTGAGATATCAAGCTTTTCTTCTACCACAGTGCATTCCTCAGAATGAAGTATGACTATTCTCAGTACATAACTGCCTCTTCAGATTCCCATTAATGGCTTCCAAAGGAATTTAACAAAACGTTATTGCATATCTGCTCGCCTCCTTTAGAAAAATCGAGATTTGTGCCATACAGGTAGTCCTCACTTAATGACTATAGGGATTGGAAAATTGGTCGTTAAGAGGGGTGGTCGTTAAGCAAGTCACCACATGACCAGACCCAATTTTATGACCATTTTTACAATGGGCGTTAAGCAAATCACGATGGTCATTAAGTAAATCACATCATTAAATGAATCCAGCTTCTCCAATGGACTTTTTTGCCAGAATTTGCTTAACAACCATGTGATTCACTTAACAATCACCATAAAAAGGTCACAAATCACCATCACGTGACTGCAGGGTGTGTATGATGGTTTGCGATGGTTGTAAGTGCAGGTACAAGTTGTAAAGGACTTTTTCTGAGGCTGTCGTAACTTTGAACTGAAGTTAAATGAATGTTGTTAGGCGAGGACTACCTGTACAACAAAGCACAAGAAATGCTGCTGGAATTCAAAATCTAGCATAAAGAACTTTCATATCTTTTGTTAACAGACAGATGTTGTGATTTTTTCAATTCAGATATTGTGCCCTACTGAGATTATTGCAATTCTGTGAGCATTCCAATGTTGTTCTTGTTGCAATACATCATAGGTTTATATAAGTTTACAGGAAATACCTGCCTAATTATTTTCTCTATATTTATTATGTTTACAAGTCAATACTGTTAACTTGGCCAAGAAATGTGAAATACTTGCAAATTTAAAAAGAAAATGAAAACTGCAGAAGAATAAGAACAAAAGCTGTAGGGGAAAATCATTAAGTAGAGAAAAAGCTCTGTATTAGTACAAAGGATGAGAAGAAGAAAAGTATGTGGAATATAGAACGGAAAACGCTTAGCTAGAAACGTGAAAAGAAACATTTTGTACAACAGGTCACCCCTTTTTCCCTTGTAAAACCAAAATCGCAATGCATCTACAAAAGAATGCAGTTTTGCTATACATTTAAATCTTGTTCAGTAGTCATTCTTATTTTGCTGTGAATCCTTGGAAATGGCAATTTGGTGAGAGGATCTGACCATCTCCAGCACAGAACATTCAGCATTCTCACCAAATTATAATTTGGTTTCTAAAAGCAAATACATTTGTTATATATAGATCTGCTCAAAGCATATTTTATAAAGCACCCTGACTTTTTACACTTATAATTTAAGGTAGAAAGAGCAAGCAATGAATTACTGAGGAAATATTTTTGAGACCTTTAAAATAGGAGGAAAAAAATGCCCCTGAAACTACCTACCCATTTTGCTGTTTATTGTCACCCTGGTTCTCTTTGAATCCGCTTCGCTGCCCCTCTGTCACCTCTGGGGCATTTTCGTTGAAAGGTGCATTGTGTGGGGGTTGCCATGGGGTATTAACAGCAGGCTTTGTGGCACTCAGTACAGGGGAACGCTGGTCAGCATTAGATTTTACATTAGCATGCACTCCTGAGGCAGTGAACGGGGGAGGTGTGACAGTGGCCAGGGGTGTAGGGGAAGCATGTAACGGAAGACTCGCACTGGCTGGAGTGAAGGCAGATGATGGTGATGGAATGGAAGTGACCTTGGAGGAGGACACAGCTCCAAAAGGCCTTGGAGCCTTATTGAAGGCCACGCTGGTTGTGGATGAAATTTTGGGTACGACTGGAGATGCAATGGGCACAGGCTTAACTATGTCCTTAGGCTCTACCTAGGTGAAATAAAAACAGAAAAATACACAGGAAAGCCACACACGTGCGCACACATGCAAATGTATCAATATCATCTGTAGCAGTTTCATTGTGAAACCTCAATTGATTGACTGACAGGTTGCAATTACACTACTTTGGCCGTAAAGCACTAACTTCCAACATCACACAGCATGCATCGTTAAAAAGAAAAAATTAACATGCGTGAGCTGGTAGCCTTAAATTCATAAGACTATTTTAGCCAAAAACTTCACTGTAAACTGGGTCAGTTAAACAGTTAAGGGAAAAAGTACACTCATCCAGTGCAAGGTTTACAGATAATCAGTGAAAGATAGAATCCTCATAGTAAGTTTTTACTTACTAAAGGATTACATGATCAGCTTCACTTGCCTCAGACAGATCTGTATTTGAACAATGCCTCTCCTTCCCTGTGACATATGGTCAACGTTTTTTAGATGTTAGTTTCAAAAGTAGTTTGACATCATGTAGAACTCTGACATCAGAGAAAGAATTTACAAGTTCTGTTGGTTATAACCAGGCTCTTGGATATACCTAATCTTATCTTGCCCTCATTTAAAATGTATATCTTAGCTTAATTTAAAGACAAATTCACATATGTTGTTTTGAAAAGGGAAATCTTTGCTGCAAAATAATGTGACAGTGTGTCTTCTGGTTACTCAGTTCACTGTAGTACAATGGTCACTGTAGTACAATGGTCTGCTCTACATGAATTTTAACTGGAATGGAGTTAAGCTAATCAAGAGGCATGCTTGAATCACCTATTACAGATCATGTTCTGCTAAGGAAAGCTAACCTTCCTACACCTTTACAGACCCTTCTTAGCAATTGTATCACACCTTTAGAAATCTGGCAGGAAAAGTCTTACATTAAGTTAGCTTTTCATAAGCTCCTATCAAACAGGCTTGTAATCAGTAACTCTCAGAATTCAGGAGAACTTTTAAGAACATGGTTGACCTCTACAGATAGCAGCATTTGGTTAACTTTGTCTAGGCTTGGAAGCTAAACTAAACTAGGCCTTGTTAGTATCAGGAAATTCCAGCATTATAGACTGGATTAGGAAGTTAAAAAAAAAACAAACTGGTTTGGAAAGGTTGTGGCAAATCACTTCTGTACTGTTGCCAAAAAAGCTGCTGGAAGTGTCCCTGAAGTCCCCAAGAGTTGAATTCAACTCAAAGAAAACTCTGTAAGAAATGTAATAGACATTTCCCATTTTATTTCTTGTTTTTGAAACCTTAAACTTTTATATTAGTCTTGTTATCACCCCAATATAAACTTGACCAATTCCAAAACAGGCACAGGAAGGAGGACTGTCAAAGCCAGAAAGTACTCTACCAAATTTTCAGATAGGGAAAACAGCATATTTCAAGAATGTCCAAATGCCATGAATGAAATGGACTTACAACAGAACTATGTTGCACTGGAAGAGCTCTTCAGATTAACAGCATTTATTAAAAGGAGCATTTCAGAGACGTGGAAGAGAAAACTGGCTACAGCTGGATTCGCCTGTACTCGGGAAGTGGGGAAGATCCCCTTACCTGCTGCACAGGAATTGGATCCGGCTTTGGAGCTGCAGGCGCTCTGGAAGAGAAGAAGGAACAGATCACATGATTTCTAAAGCAATCTATCCAACAGTCCCATATGTTACAATTTTAGATTCTAAAATCACAATGCAGATTAAGTTAAGGCTTGGAGGTCCCACTGATTTAATTCATGCTTAATAATTCACCTGCGCTAATCAACAGGACTTGTCAGTACATCCAAAGTTTTACATAAGCTGTTAGTTTTCTTACATGTCAAAGTCTAATTTCAAACTTCAAAACATCAGTAGGTTCATTTAGTATGTGTTCAGCAAAGCATCTACACCCCGAAACTGAAGAGCAAACCATTAAACGTTAAACAAGAACTACTCTGTATACTGAACGGATTTGTAACTCAACTGTTCCATGCATAAATGATAAAGCAACACTGCACTTCAACATATGAATTAGCAGAAACCACACTGCTTGCAGTTTATACAATAGTGACAACATATATGGCATCATCTCATTTATCCAATGGGTTTGCTTCCTACTAGATGCACAGCTTGCCAACATATTACACCTAAAACAAAACTGAAGGACAATTTTGGAAGTTGCTACATGAGTAAAAGACTTAAAAGCTTAAAAATACAGCCTTCTTCCCAGGCATTTACATTTCTGTTCCCTGTATGGAATATCCATGAGGAGTCTGAGTTCTACTTTTAAACCAACTATCGCAATGTCTTACATAATGCACATATCCATTAAATATATAAAACTTCTACTAGTCTCTCTTTATAGTAAGTGTGTTGTTTCAGCTCTGAAGTGCGTTTAAGTTACAGCAATTTCATGAAATGACTTCTGAAATACATGGCTGGAACCCCTAAGATGCAGTATTGATTTGTGGAAGAGATGTCAAAAATTTCCATAAAAATATATTCCTCACCCACACTATATAAAATTACTAAAATCTTTTTTTCTGGACTTTCTCCTTTTTTCTGACTAAAAATTAATGGTGCTTTGAGCATGACTATGATCACTGATTTAAGTCACAAAACTGATACCCAAAGTTAATCTGATATGAAATAATTCCTCAAGGACACTTGAGAATTTTGCGTTATACCCTAGTTATCTTCCCCCCTCCAACTTATAACTCTTAGCTTCATCCAATCTTTTTTTTAAAAATGGAAGCGAGACTCCTATGACTCCAATAAAGCAAAATAAAAGAGCTCATCCTGGCAGTAAACAGTACTGAGAAAAAGGCCTGAAAGCAGTTTTCTTACATACTATGGGCTGATTCAATTACTTTCAAACAAAGGCATATTTTTAAATGTGTTTTGTGGCTAGATTCCTGAAATAGCGTCCTGATTATTACTCAGGATTGAATAGCACTGAACATTCTCGCTTGCACATACATATGCACTGATGTGGCTAAGAAAACAAGAGGTAATAAACAAGATCAGGCAGCCCCGCAGTGCAGAATTGATAGCTTTGATTTATTGGGCCCTCACAGATCAAGACTGGATAGACTGAAATCAGTGGCTGAACTAAGCCATTAACTAAGCCCCACTCCCAATTACAATTAGCTTCTTATGTGCAAAGAGGTTGCCTATCTCTATAATTTAGAGGATAAAAGTCTGCACCAAGAGAAAATATGTAGACCCTGCCACATGCCTTGCTTTCTCTTCTATCATCTCAAACAGGAGTAAATCATTTTTCCTACTCATCATTTCTTATTCCAAAAAAAAAGAATGGTGCAACCTATTAGGACTGCTTTCTGTACACTGGTTACCGTTAGTTTCGACCTCTCAATTTGACTACGAGCCAATCATGATTAATACTAAGAGCATTATATATGTAATTCTGTACCAATGGGAAGGTGGAAATGCAATGTTTGTTTTCTTGCAGGAATGGAAAAAGTGGGAGGAAATAAGCAAAGTTACTCTGTGTTCCTTCAGTCTCAATTAACTAATTGGAAATGCCATGTCTGCGTCAGAACCAGCTATATTTTATGAATTCCTAGAAAAGAAAGCCACAATAAGTAGCAGGACAAACTCTTTTAGGTGTTTATTAAAACAGCCCTTTTATCATACTGGTGTTCTAATTCTATTTAACCGAACCCAATACACAGCTTAGTGGCTTCTGAACCACTCATCAGTCCTAAATCTATTTAGTTTGAAGAACAGGGCTGCTTCATGTGCTTTCAGATCACAGCCTGTTTAATTAGTCAAGGTATTTTTAGCAAAACAGTCAACAATTCAGTAGGTCTTAGAAAGACTGATGCAACCACATTGGTGTAACAGTCTCCTAACTATTCTTCCTGTTTAATGTGGAGATGATATATAGAAAAAGCAAAGCAATAAATCCACTTCAACCCATTCTAGCATATATCAGCCATTTCATACAATAAAACAAGGTGCCCTTCACTACAGGAAATATGAACCAACCAACCCTTCATTCCTTACATTCTTGTTTTATTCACCTTTTCCTGTTTGGTTCATCTTTTCCTGCTTATTTCAGACTTAAAAAAGAAGAACAAATATGGAGAGCTCTGTCTGCCAAGTCATCCAGCAATCTGGAAATCTTTCCTTCAAGACAAAACTGCTTTGTTTCAAGTCAGAGCAACAACTTGCTTTATAAAGCAAAATGCTGAAATGCAAGAGGGAATGGAAAAGAAAGAAGCACATAACACAATAGTTACTGAGATTGTACTTGGCTTAAGAAGACAGGAGTTAGCAGCCCCACTCAAGCACAAAACTAAGCAATACTGGGGCGGGAGAGTTGGCTATTTTACCATACAATTTTGTTGCAAGCATTGCATTCCATAATCTCACAGACAATGCCAGCATTTCAACATTTGACATTCACAAGTTATCTGAAGTTGCTGTATCCCTAGGGGTATGTTCATTCAACGTGCTTCCAAATCAAATAAAACTCTGCAGCTATGACAATATATTAGTTTAGGTCTGTTGAGGCTTAGCAATGATGTACAGGTATCTCATATAAGTCACAAAAATGCCATGGCATCACCATGCAAATGATGCAATTTACATGTCATTTTGACAAATTAAATCAACACACACACCCCTGCAGAAGCTCATGGTTAGTATGACTTAATATACTGTGAACTACAGAAAACGGGGGTTAATACAGTAACCAGGTTAAATGTGTTACATTAATTACATCTATGGATGTGGGAGCGGGAAAATTGAGAACAACTCGAGAGTTAATATATCATTCTAGCAATCATGATGACAGTCCTAGTTACAACCTACAATTACAGCATTAAGTGCAGTTTCCTGTCAATATTGGCAAGATCCTACCATATTCCATCAGAAAACTAAGCGTGTAGACTTCATCATTTCAGTATCAATCGTCTTTCTCTCTCAACATTCTTTCTAACAGGAACAGATCAGAAGATGTTGGAAAAATAACACATTTTGACTTTTGTGTTCATTCGAAGAAAGAGATTACTCCAATAAAGGTTTTGGATTTTTCTGTCATTACAGCTTACTCTTTTTTGTACCCATATCAAAGCTGGTTTGTAGAGAAGATTTTTTGAAGGACATATATAAAGAAGTTTATTTATATTTTTGCAGGAATAAAATACCATTTCGGAATGCATTCTTCCACACAGCAACCTGCACGCTGTGAATTAATAGTAAGGCATTGGGGTATAGAATTCTTTCTCTGTGTTGACACTATATGGTTATAATGCCTCCTCTAATTCCAATTTTAGCAATATTGGACCAGAGTACTCATTTTATTGGTGATTTTTTTGCTCCCTTGGCTGTTTGTTTTATTTTCTAATATAGAAAATAGCACTGAACCCTACCCAACAGTAAACAAAAGCAGCTCTTCATACAAGACAATCACAGTCTTGTGGGCCAAACACTGTTACAACAAGTAGGGGGCTAAAAGATAGGAAATTAAAGATTGGGTATCTAGGGTGGTAGAACTAAGTAGAATAAGCAGTAGATTGAAAAAAATATATAAGAATCTGAAGGCAGAAGAGATGGAGAATATCAGAAATGTTAATGGTACAGCTGTAGGGAAGCCACAATAACATATAAAGTCTCCTCAGAATTAAGCTCATAGCCACAGCCACTTAGTTTTCTTAGCAACAATATGGAAGCGGTTTCCCATTAATTCTATGGGATGTTTTAAAATTTCCCCAATTAGGTCCATTATCCTGGAGTTTCCTGGTAGTCTCCTATCCAGGTAACAATCCTGACCTGACCCTGCTTAGCTTCCAAGACTAAACAAGGTCGGTCAGGTGAGATCCAAGCCAGGAATATCTAGACAGTATTTTCAGGATCAGTGGTACAGAAAAAAAATATATTAGCACACAGGAAAAGCATAAAGAAACCAGAAGTGCTGTACCTAAGTAGAATCTAGAGGTGACAAAGATACTAAGGACAAGAAGCAAAAACAGGGGTGGGAAGAAAAAAAAAGTTAAGTTAATTATAGAAAGAAGTTGATCTACAAAGATAGGAGTGAGTACAGAGCATACATGCCATTGTTAAGTCTGCATTCTGAGACATATCCATAAAGTGGAAAAATTATGCCAGGTATAATGTTTCCAATCTTCTCAGTGCTGGAAAAATGAAACAAAATAGGGTGCAATTCTCTTTTTTGCATAATTATTAGGGTAAATAAGGCAAGACATGGGAATCCTAATGGGGCTTTAGCAAATGGCAGTGTTCTACAAATATATTTTGAGTTGGACAGGAGGCATGCTTGAGCTGAATCAGTGCAGCATAATAAATAAGAAACACTGGATGGTGGGAGGAGTATTCATTTCTACTTCACCATAATAGAGAGACAAGTCAAAACAAAAATCTAAATCTTCCTTCTAAGTGCTGAGTATTCAGAATGCAATTGCATATTACTAGCACTTCCTAACATGTACAAAATAACTGCATTTATAAATCATTTTTTCCAAACAATTTATTTTTCCATGTCCAATAGATACCTCATTAGATAAAACCAAGCATAAATAAATGACTAACATGGCAGCTAGCTTGAATAATACAAACAGTAGTTAGGGGGAAAAAACTT